CATGCACAATTCAATCAGCTAATCAGTGGCTGAATAAATAGCAGTACTCCTACAAAAAAAGAAAAAAAAAAAGAACAAGAACAATCAGGGCTGGTGCAGATGCAGGGAGAAAGGGACTCTCATTCACTGTTGGTGGCAATGTGGACTGGTCTAGCCTTTTTTTGAAAACAATATGGATATTTCTCCAAAAACTAGAAATTGAGATCCCATATGACCTGTAACTGTCACTGTCATCCCATTGTTCATCGATTTGCTCGGATGGGTACCAGTAATGTCTTCATTGTGAGACCTACCAACCATATGACCTAACAATACCTTTTCTGGGAATATATTCTGGAGATGCAAAAAAAAAGAATAGAAATGATATCTGCATATTGATTGCAGTAATTTTCACAATAGCCAGAATTGAGGCAAAACCTGAGGGCCAGAGAACAGATGACTGGTTAAAGAAACTTTGGTACGTCTCCACAATGGAATACTATGCAGCTGTTAGAAAAGATGAAATCATAAAATCTGCATAAAAGTGGATGGACAACAGAGAATACCATGCTAAATAAAATTAGAAAGAGAGGGACAGACACAGAATGACTGCAATCATTTGTAGAATACAAAGTAACATAATATGGGACTAACACCTAAGGACAGTAGAGATGAGGGCCAGGAGGATGGCTCCATGGTTTGGAAATCGGCCTCATGTGCCGGGGAAAAGGCAGTTGGGATGAAGAAGGTACCACTAAGTCAATGATGATTGGAGGGATCGCTCATGCTGAAAGTAGACTAAGGACCAAACATGATGGCCTCTTAGCATCTGTTATGCAAACCATAATGCCCAAAATTAGAGAGAAAGAAGGAATGTACCTGCCACAGAGGGCAGGAGGTGGGATGGGGTGGGGGTGATGGGAGGGATACTATGAATATTGGTGGTGAAAAATATGCACTGGTGGAGGGAATGGGTGCTCAGTCATTGCGTGACTGAAACTTAATCACGGAAGTTTGTAACTGTATCTCACGTGATTCAATAAAAAAATTGTGATGCTACAAATATAAAGTTGAACAATAGAAAATCAATGGGAAAAAGATAACATTCAATGCCTCACTAACACAAAAGGGGAAACTAAAAGATTATTTTTTTAATGTAGGAGTACTGCTATTTATTCAGCCACTGATTAGGCTGACTGAATTGGGCATGAACTCCACCTTGCTTTTTTTCCCCTTTTGTATAATTTTATTTATTGAAACACTGTGAGAGCAGTTACAAAGCTTTCAGTTTTAAGTCTCAGTCATACAATGAAATACCAGTGCTCATTTTCCACCACCAAAAACCTCAGTAACCCCACTATGCCCCCATCCCACACCCTCTCCCTACCAGTGGGGCAGATGATTTCCACATTATTCTTTCTTTACTTTGATTACATTCAACACCAGACCCATTTCAACACCAGACCCACCATTATTATTTGGGATTTTACCCCAGTACTCAGATCTGCCAAAAAGGCAACCATAGACAATTTGTTTTCTATTGCTGGTTATGAATAACATAGGATGTCGCATGGCCACAGTAGTCGCCATGCAATTTTGGAATTCCAAAATTTTAACAATTAAATCTGGAGGGATTTCTGCCCAAATCTGCTGGGTTCTGAGATTTGTTCCGGAGTGTCTGGGATCATGGCCATTAAGCAGCTTGATCAGGAGCCAGACAGGCCACTCGTGGGCGGCGACGTTGGGGTCTCGTTGGGGCAGGGAGAAAAGGGCCAACTCCACCCCTATCCTGTGAGGCCCCGCGTGTCTCATCACTGCGGGCCCAAACCTGTCTGTCCAATGGCCTCTGGAGGATGGTGGCCAGTGAGCCACCAAGGAGGAGCAAGCGGAGGTACAGTACTCTTTCACTCCTGGGATGGTCTGGCAACAGTAACCTACTGCAGGGTCCGGATGCATTTCTGCCAAAAGCCACTGGGTTCCAAGATTTGTATCTGAGTCTCTGGGATTATGGCCATTAAGCAGTTCGATCAGGAACCAGAGAGGCCTTGTCTCCAGTTACATAGCTGAGCTGGAGGTGGTTTGTGGGTGTGTGTCCCACATACCTAACTTCTGGCTGTTTACTTTCTTGAACTCCACCTTGCTTTTTTTTTAAACTTCGCCCCAAGTTTTTGGGGTCTGGCAAAAGGCACAGCAGCAATTTTGGGGTATCTGGAAGTCTGAAGGCACCATAAGGCTGCTGCCACACTCGCCTCACAGGTACAGACTGACCTGCTGGCGGTACCCCCGAAGATTATGTTTTTGACCCATTAATTAACAAAGATTTTAGAATTAAAGTGGTGCCAGCATTGGAAGTAAAAGAGGTTCTCATCTGCAGTAACTGATACAATGTTTCTGGAAAGCATTATGGCACTATGTATCAAGAGCCTTAAAATATCTCTGCAATTTCCAGTCTTTCATATCTTTAGAAGTGACTTTCACGGTATTAAAATAATAGAAATAACCTTTATATACAACAAGAATTGAGTTAAATGAATTATATTGCACTTACACAAATAAAGCATAGACAGCTATAAAAAGATATCTGAAAATATGATTGTTAAATCAGGAAGCAAAAGCAAGTAAGCTATATGGGTCTATTACGGTTTTCATTTTTAAGAAAGAAAACAAAATGGGCCAAATAAAAGAGAAAAGTTAAAGCCTAAAATCCTAAAATTCACCAGAACGGTCCTCCCGTTGTTCATTGATTCGCTCGAGCAGGCCCAGTAACATCTCCATTGTGACACTTGTTACTGTGTTTGGCATATCGAATACGTCACAGGGAGCTTGCCAGGCTCTGCCGTGCGGGCGAGATACTCTCAGTAGCTTGCCGGGCTCTCCGAGAGGGGCGGAGGAATCGAACTCGGGTCAGCCATGTTGGCTGTGTGCAAGGCAAACGCCCTACTGCTGTGCTATCGCTTCAATTTTAAGAAAGAAAACAAAATGGACCAAATAAAAAAGTTAAAGCCTAAAATTCACCAGAACACATCAATTTTATTTCATTTTTAAAAAATTATTCATAAATTTATACATTGTATAAACTACTATCTTTTTAAGGCAGAAAACATATAAAGCTTATTTTATTTTTCTTTAAAATGTCTGGGGTTGAACAAACTCAATTCTGCTTTACTCCAGTAGAGAAAGAGGTTGGTGGTAATAGCATGATTTGCACACTTCAATCAAATGCAAAAAATCATGCTACTCAAATAATTTTATGAACTTAAAAAAAATAAAAGGCAACTTCCTAGTCATATAATTTCATATAGACTTTAAGGCTCAAATGCAGTTAACAGCTTTCCCTGACATTAGTGAAGACTGGAAGGTCCTGATGCTATACATCTGTTACTTTCCTAATAAACAAGGGTAAACAAAATTCTATGAAAACTTCCCCCAGAAATTCTAGGTACTGTTCTGAAAAAATTATGAAATGTCTTCACAATAACCATTGTTAGCCTTCTCCACTCTTTTTTAACCTTTCAGAATAAAAGCTTAAAACTGCATTAAAATCACAAAGCAGGTCCTAAGTGAGTAGAGCTTAGATGTAGGCATGGTCCTTCCAGTTTTATACATAAGAATATAGGTGTTAAGCTCCTAAGTAAAACACACAGTAGGCCATTTTACTACGAAATTTGGCTAGTGTTCACATTTCTGAAGGTTGCAGAATCAAACTAATTGAAATCTGCCTTATTTATCATTTTCCTTAAAAGAAAATGTTCAGGGGCCATCATCAACTGCCTATTTCAGTGAGCTATAAAGAGATGAACAAACTCAGAAATTCACTAATTTAAACAAGTTCTGACACCAAGTTGGTTATAGTACGCATATTAACACTTATCTAGTAGTGACCATTCAACTGATACCCAGGGTTGACATTCAGTCTGATAACAGTCTTAAGATCTGCTCTGAGAATTTAGAAAAGGGACCACCAAGTAAATGATGCTTGAAGGGCTCGCTCAGGATGGGAGATGTGTGCTGAAAGTAGACTATGGACTGAACATGATTGTGGCCACTTAGTACCCGTAGTGTGAACCATAATACCCCAAAGGAGAGAGAGAATGTGCCTGCCAAAGAGGGGATGGGGGGTGGGGGGAGTGGGAGATGGGGGGGCATGATGGCAGGGATACTGGGAACACTGGTGGTGGAAAATGGGCACTGATGGTACTCAATCATTGTATGACTGAAAAGTAATCGCAAAAGTTTGTAAATCTGTAACTGTATCTCATGATGATTCATTTAAAAAGAATTTTAAAAAAGAAAGAAGAAAAAAAAGATCTACTCTGAGAAGTTCAGTTATGTGGTTATTACAGAAAAACATGATCAAAGAAAACAACTCTCTCCTGGCTACATGCTTAGATGGGTACTCGATCATTTTATGACTGAAATGTAATCATGAAAGTTTGTAAATCTGTAACTGTATCTCACGATGATTCATTAAAAAAAATTAAAAGGGAAAAAAAGATCTTCTCTGAGAAGTTCAGTCATGTGGTTAATACGGAAAAACATGATCAAAGAAAACACCTCTCTCCTGGCTACCTGCTTCGAGGTTGCAGAGACAGATGATATGGAAGACAAAACCTGGTTCGGGTTTAGTGGAAGCCCAGGGATGAACTCATGCATATGAAATTGTTCAAATGGGAAGACAGAGAAATATTACTGTCCCAAAGTATAGAATTCTATTTTAATATTGTATTTCTTACCAAAGGAGTACTATGTATTCAAATGCTCTGTAAATATTAAAATACATGAGTTTGAGGTACTAGTAGAAATCTTTATTCTTATGAGGCTAAAGACACTGTAGTATTAAAAGTGATTATAGAAAATTTTAAGAGGGATTATACATTTCAGGAAGTATTTTAAGACCTTATAGCCCTTATTTATCACATTATCACGCTTTATATATTACCAGTTTAATGTATTTTAATAATATTAGTCCCAGGAAGCAAACATTTAATTATTAAAATACAAATAAAAATATAAATACTTACTCACAATACCAAATTGTCCCCAGGATAGAAGTATGGCCAAAATCGGGAAAATCACAATTACAATATTTTCATTTGGAGAAAACCATGACACTGGAGGAAAAAAAAAACCACAATTAATATTTATAAAAATATTTATAATATTTATAAAAGTCCTTTTAGGTCCTGCCAATGAATGATCGACATTGTTTTACTGTGGAGACGAAATATAAAAATAATTAAGGCTATCCCCATCAAAATTAGTAACAGATGACAAAACAGAAATTTGTTTAAATGTTTTCTACTCAGAGGCTAAAAAATCCAGCTACCGGACGAGACCAGTGCAGTCTTCTGCCCCCGCGCCTGGCTGTTCCTCACCGGAGCCCCTTGGAGGGGAGCGGGTTGAGCTTTCCTCCCCGCCCCGACCAGGGCTCCAGCAGCCGAAGACCTCCAGGACCAGCCACCACCATGCTGAGACCACTCTCCGCACACATGAAGGTACTGGCAGAGGGACAAAGCCATGCGGGTTCGGGGGCCGAGATCTCCAAGCCTATTCGGATTGGAGTCGAGCATCCTCCACCCAGATCCTCCAAATTCCAGTAGGTGGGGGTCACACCCACCACCTGGCCCCCTGGCGCCGTGTAATCCCATCAACGGCCAAGACTCAGAGGCTATAAAATACAGCTACTGGAACCGCGCGGCCACATTTGCGGCCGCGCGACATCTTATCAAGACATCTTTTTATGACATCTTATTATCTCATTCCTACTTTGGACAAACTTGCAGGCTATCAAATGTAGCCTGCCCACAGGGCAGAGTCTGGCAAACTCCCCGTGGCGTACCCAATATGCCAAATACCAGTGACAATGATGGGTCTCATTCTCCTAAAGAGCCTTGAATATAATCTCAGGGCTAGGATGAAGGAGATGTTACTGGGGCCTGCTCGAGGCAACCGACGAATAACAGGATGATGAAATGAAAATGAAATGTTTTCTACTACATGTTACCTAACCTGTGATTTGTAAAAGGGGAGTATGGCATAGAAGCTGAGATTGGCGTCACTGTTGTTTAAACTCAACTTTAATTTACAATCCTGATTTTCCCAGTATCTTCAACTGTTACTCCAGTACAACACAGCATCCAATCCAACAGGACAGTTATGACTGATAACAAACTTAATAATTTAAAAGGGCTTTAAGGCTTTAAGACAACGCTTTGAGATCTCAGACTGGAGGGTGGAGTAGAGCCAGGCTTAGCCTGGGCTGAGTTAGGATCTTGCCTGCGGTGGTGGCAGCCACAATACCCACAGGTCCTGACCTGGGGTAAATATGGTGCCTTCAAAGTATGGCTTCCTGGCTGAGTTCCAACATTTTGAGTATAGCGAACTGAGATGGGACCGAGACCAGTCACGCTGAAGTCTTGTAGGTGTTTTACTGGGCTCCTGATCTGGGGGTGATATGGCAGCTTAAAAAAATGAGAACTTGGGAGGGATACTGGGATCCGTGGTGGTGGGAAATGGGCACTGGTGGAGGGATGGGTATTTGATCATTGTATAATTGAAACCCAAGCACAAAAATTTGTAAGTCTACAACTGTACCTCATGGTGTCTCACTAATAAAAATTTTTTAAAAAATGGGAACTAAGGGAGCCATCCTCAGCATAGTCAAAGCCATAATGTTGACTGTATAATGTTTAATGCCCACAGTGAACATTAGACTCCATGGGGGAAAACAAAAAGCTTTCCATCTAAGATCAGGCACAAGACAAGATTGTCCTTTCTCACCACTTCTGCTCAAGATAGTATTATAAGTACCTGCCCACAGCAATTAGGCAAGAATTAGGAAATAAATCAAGCTTTCACTATTTGCAGATGACATGATACAATTTAGAAATCCCCAAAGTTTACAAAAAAAAAACCCACTCCTAGAAATAATAGATTTTACAGTTAAGTGGCAGGCTACAAAATCAACATGAAAAAGTCCTTGGCTTTCCTGTAGACAAATAATGAAATAGAAGAGAGAAATTAAAAAACAATCCCATTCACAACTGTGCCTCAGAAAATCAAGAACATAGAAATTGGCTTAACTAAAGAGGTGAAAGACCCATACAAAGAAAACTACAAAACACTACTTAAAGAAATAAAAGGACAGGAGGAAATGGAAAAACACCCATAATGGATTGAAAGAACTAACATCAAAATCACAATACTCTTCTCCACACCCCTCCCCCCAAGTATTATGCAGATTCAATGTAGATTCAATGTAATTCCCATAAGGGCATCTATAATGTTTTTCAAAGAAATAGATAAACCACTCCTAAAATTCATATAAAAAAATAACACTGTAGCAATGTCCTTCCATTGTTCATCATTTGCTCAAGAAGGCCCAGTAATGTCTCCATTGTGAGACTTGTTACTGTTTTTGGCATACGCCACCTGGAGGTGGCCAGGCTTTGCCATGCAGGCTAGATACTCTAGGTAGCTTTCCGGGCTCTCCGAGAGGGGTGGAGGTATCAAACCCGGGTTGGGCCAAAGCTGCAATATCAAACCTGAATTCATATGGTACACAATGGAAACATAGGTAGAACTCAATATGACACTGAAGCTAGCTACATCTTTAAGGATGAAATACCACTGACCATGCAAATGGAAGAAAAGAAAAACATATGGAACTGTATTAAGAAGCTTCCACACCTCAAAGGAAATAATCACCAGAATACAAAAACAGACACAGACTAGCCAGCCATTCATCCCATAAAGGGTTAATAGGATAGATAATGGAACAGTATGACAATAATAGTTAGAAATGATCACTCTGGACAAGAACTGAGTGTTGAAAGTAGGTAAAGGGATTGTATTATACACACACACACACACACACACACAACACACACATATAAAAGGTTATTACATATAAACTTTCAGTACCTGTCTTGCAAATCATAATGTCCAAAAAAGGGGGGTAAGAGAGGAGAGAGAGAAAAAGAGGGGAGAGGGAGGGAGGGGGGAGACAGAGAAAGAGGGGGGGGTGCCTGGGGTGGGGGGTGGGGGTTGGGGACACTGGTGATGGAAATGTATACTCACTGAAGGGATGGGTACTGGAACACTATATAACTGAAACCCAATTACGAGCCACCTTGTAACAGTGAATTCAACAAAAAATTGATTCAATAAAAAATTAAAATAAACTGGGGGCTGGAGCGATAGCACAGCGGGCAGGGCACTTGCCTTGCACACGGCCAACCCGGCTGACCCAGGTTTGATTCCTCTGCCCCTCTCGGAGAGCCCAGAAAGCTACCAAGGGTCTCTTGCCTGCACGGCAAAGCCTGGCAAGCTACCTGTGATGTATTCAATATGCCAAACACAGTAATGAATGTCACAATGGAGATATTACTGGGCCCTCTTGAGCAAATCAATGAACAACGGGAGGACAGTGACATATAAAGCACTGGTAGAGCTCTGCAAGAAAAAACATCCAAGTCCATCAAAAATGGGGAAAAGGATTAAAAGAAACTTATTCAAAGGAGAAATACAAATGGCCAAAGGGCATATGAAAAAATGCTTTATATTACTAAACATAAAGGAAATATAAACTGAAACAACAATGACGTGTCACCTTGCACCACAGAGACTGCCACTGTGGCATTATCAAAAACAATGGCAACAACCAGTGTTGGCGTGGGTGGGAGGACGCTCCTTCACAGCTAGAGGGACTCTCAACTGGTTCATCCTTCTAGGAAGACAGTATGAATATTCTTCAAAGAAACTAAGAACTCAGCAATTCCACTCCTCAGAAAATACTCCAGGGGTCCAAAAACATAATGCGGGAAAGAAACTTACACTCCTATGCTTACTGCAGCACTATTCACAATAGCCAACATATGAAAACCCAACTACCCAGAACAGGTGACTGGATATACAGTACATGGTGTATTACTTGGCCCCTAGGAAAGATAAAGTTATGCAATTGCTGCTGCATGAATGGAACTGGAGTGTATTTTTGCTAGTCTCTCACTGGGTGCATAGATGTTTAGGAGTGTAATTTCTTCCTGATGTATTCCTTGATTATTAAGAAACGGCCTTTGCTGTTCCTTCTAACCTTTTCAGCCTGAAATCTAAGTCATCAGATACCTGTGTCACCCTGGCCTTAATGAAGGAGTTGTTTGCTTGAAGAGTTGTTTTACAACTTTTGACTTTGAGTCTGTGTTTGCTCTGACTATTCAAATGTATTTCTTGTAGGCAGCAGAATGTTGGAGTCTGTCTTTTTTTTTCATCCATTTTGTCACTCTGTGTCACTTAATTGGTGCACAGACATTGAGAGAGATAACTGTCATGGAGTTTTGTGGTATCTTTCTGTAGAAGTCTGTTGTACTTGTGGGTTTTGCCTTGCCTTACAGTACCCCTTCAGTCCTTTTAAAGTTAGTTTTGAGTCTATAAAGTTCCTGAACTCTTGTTCATTCATGAAGTTGTGTATCGTTCCTTCAAATCTGAATTAAAAGTCTAGCCAGGTAAAATATTCTTGGGGAAGAATTCATTTAATTGTTTTTTTTTTTTGTTTTCACTATTTCCCATCACTGTCTTCTGGCTCAAGGGTTTCATCTGATAAGTCTGCTGTAAATTTAAGGGACGCTCCAATTTATGTAAATTTTCATCTTTGATCTTGCTTCCTGCAGTATTGTGTCTCTATATGGTATTCATACTTCTGATTAGGATATGTCTTAAGAGTCTTTTTATTAGGGTCTCTTTAGGCTGGTACCCTTTGGGTTTCTTGGCTCTGGGAACTTTTCAGCAATGATTTCTTTAACTGTTACGACCTCTCTGGAGTTGCCTCCCTGTCCCTCTGAGACTCCATCAACTCTTATACTATTCCTCTTGAATTCATCTCATAGTTCTTTTGCCCACCCTTGAGCTATTCTGAGATCTTTTATCCATCTTCTGTTGTTGCCTGGATGAAACAGAAACATTCCTAACAGTTTCCTTTTTTTTCCCCAAGCAGTTTCTATGAGGCAAATATCATCCTAAAACCAAAAGCAGACAGAGATCACAAAAAAAAGATACTTTTTATAAGTCAATATCCCCAATGAACACAGATGAAAAGATTCTCAACAAAATCCTA